AGTATTTCCCAACTAAACGCCTCAATCGTTTCCTTCACCAGTTTTGCTGTGTGTGATGATGCATGAAGCAAAATCACTTTGTGTTGCCTTTTTTAATATTCTGGTCATTTTTCACGCAAAGCTTGATTCAAATCGATCATTTATTGTCGGTAGCGTTCAGTATGAATGGTTTCGCCAGCTTTTAGCAGCTCATAATAGATCACACCCTTCTGATCCCACCAAACACAGAGCATTGTCTTCCGTCCATAGCGATTTGGCCTTGCAGTCGATGTCGATGGTTCGCCTAGAGTTACCCATGATCTTTTGCGCTTAGGATTCTCAAAATATATCCACTTTTCATCGCCAGTCACAATTCGATGGAGAAATGACTTTCTTTTATACCTGACGAGCAGCATTTCGCAAGCGGCTTTTCGGTTTTCCTGCTGTCTTTCATTCAGTTCATGTGGAATCCATCTTCTTTTCCCATCTTCTGGATCTTTCCCATGGCTTTCGCAAACGTGGAATGGAGACGGTTTCTCGTGTCACATTTAATTGATCCGCGAGTTGTTGTTGCGTTTGAGCGTCATCCTCATTCAACAATGCTTGCAATTCGCTGTCTTCAAAGTTTTTCGGTGATCTTCCACGTTCTTCGTTTCTCACGTCAAAATCGCCACGTTTGAATTTTTTAAACCACTCAAAGCACTGTGATTTATCAAGAGCATGCTCACCGTAAGCTTCGACAAGCATTCGATGCGATTCTGCAGCAATTTTCTTCAAATGCTAACAGAAAATCAATGCTGTCCGCAGATCGTAGCTTCCAGACACAAAATTCGACATGTTCAACGCTCTTACAAACTATGCTGTTGTATGAAACTTGTATTGTTGTGAGTTGAAAATCTTTGTCAGATGTCAACAAATGAAAATGGCGCCAATGACGCGGTTTGACGGTAACTACATTGACAGCTAGGGCCATCTATGGGCAAACTCCGGTTTCATATTTACAGACCTGGTATATGTTGTGTAATTGTAATGTTGTGTAATTATATATATATATATATGTGCATAGATAGAGGGAGGTTGCACACAATATAACGGCGCGTCGTCATAAGAATGAGCGCGTCGCTGCAAAGTTTCCCGTGATCTCCCGCTCGTTATCTCGAGTAAATAATTTCAGTTGACGCTTTGAGCTCTAAATCGATGCAGTCTTGAGCGTCGCGCGAGCATAACTATTCCCTGAGCTCTCCGGAGAGCAAAGCGCAAGTCGACGTCCTTTATTTACCCCGCATCACGGCGACAGCCGCCCGGTGCACGGGGCTGCGCATGAAAGAACGAGGAGGACGAGGAGAGAGCGCGAGGGGGGAGGATAATGTAATTCTTGACAATCTCTTTCAAGACGCGTCTCGTAAAAAGTCTTTTGCACGCGGTAATCTCGTTCGAGCTGTTTGCTCTCCAATACGTCGCCGGGCGTAGGACAAAAAAAGGACAGGGTGAAGCGTCGGAGGAACAGTCGACGGGCGGTGGAAGTAGCAACGGCCCCCGTCGAACGTTACCGTCGACGACGATCTTTCCTACTCTCCTCCGTCGTCATCGTCGTCGTCATTCTCGTCGTCGTTCTCCTCTCCTCTCCTCTGCCCCTCGTTCTCTTCATCGTCTTCGTCGTCGTTGCTCTCCACGGAAAAAAACGCCTCAGGCACCAAATAACATTGATCCAGTCCGTATCAACGAAGTCGATGACCTTACGACCTTTGATTATTTAGTTCGAACGGTTCCCGCGGTGGTCTCCGAGGTCATTCTTCGGAATAACTCGAGACGATATTCGCTCGTGAGTGGAAGGCCGGACTTAAAGAATACAAATACGCGAGAATATACTATTAGTGAGAACGGCCGGGAAAAAGCTATTTTCGACGTGGCTATCGCGACAATAGAAGACGCCAAGTTATATCGTTTCGCGGGAATACCGCTCCATTTTCCGCGAGGACGACGCGGCTCTTGGAAAAAAAAAACTCCATCGCGAATGATCAGCGGTAAAATGTAATGATTAGCAACGGTTGGCTCGGCGATCTTGCGATGACTTAGAAAAAGTCCCGTTGCTCGAGCGATCGATCAACCGGCGCAATTTCTGCGATTGCCGCGGTCGATTACACATGAGCGGGATCATCGGTCGTACAGCGAAGTCAATTAACGCAATCCACTTAATTATTTCCCTCGGGAGCACCCGCTGTCCGCTCGGTCTACAACGCGAGTCCGAAAATTGCTACCGCCTGGTAGATATTATACAAACGGAGGACTCGCGTAATGCCGGCGCGGCGCGTCGTCCAGTCGCTCGCTCTCGCCTCGTTCGGCTGAAACGCTCGTTTTCCGCTGCCACTGTGTGTTGCGGAAGGGTGGCCGCATGCGCGCGCGCGCGCGCGGCTTACCCGCGCAAATCGGATTAATTATTTCCCCGGCTGCGGTCGAAGGAGAGAGCGAGCGGCCCTTTCTTATCGCGGCTTTCGCCGGTGTGCCCTATGCCTGCGACTGTGCCCTGTGTTTGCCTTTGGGTCGCAGTCGCCGAGGATCGATGGCGCGCACCATGCCACACGATGCGCGACGAGGCGACTCGTTGCAGCGATTCGTGCAGCGCTGCGCGCTGCTCCACCGCCATGCCGCGCGCGTAAACATCGCACGCCGAAATTACACGCCGCGCGCGACATCGCAAACATCCACACACGTGGCCGCGAGAAGACGAAGATGAAGACGAACATGAGGGCAAGGACGAGGCAAAATGGAGCGAACGAGCGAGGGTGCCTCGGCCTAATGAGACCCGCCGCGTTTACCGTGCCCTCGCTAAGGATAATAAGGATTTTGATTGAGCAAGTTGTTTGTCTCGTCCCTATTGATTAACGTCGATCTCGCGATACGCCCTTTATGGCGCGCGACCAGGCGACGTAACGATCTCGCGTCCGCTGAGCTCGACTTTCCTAGAGCAGCCTAAAGCGGACGAATTGATGCAAGATCCGTTCACCTTGCGGGAATTCCATCGCCGGCAGGTCGGTTGAAAAATCGCCGTCTCTCGGCGACTTTTCGAGCGATCCCCGCGAGCATCGCTCCCGAATGATTCATTCGCTTCGCACGGAGAGGGGGAGAGGGGCGAGGTGGGCGGGGGGGGGGGAGGGGGGAGAGGCAGCTCGCACGTCCGGCGAAATTTAATTAATTTATTAGTTTCGCGAGGTGCATTCACTCTCCGCCCGCCTCCATATTCATTCGACAGTCTCGTCGCGAGGAATTCTCATTTGACCGTTTAAAAATTCACGGCCCCAAGCAGTTAAGTACTTTCCGCGTCGACGGAATTATGCAAATGTTAAAAGCGGCCGACCTCGCCGCGCCGCGCCACGCCGCTCGCGGAGCGAGTGGAATTTCGCGAGAACGCGCGCGACTCGATTTCCGCGCGCGGCGCGCCGCACAATAAAGTACAACAGGATGCATTAACGTCGGCGGATTCTGACGCGTTGGTTCACTAACGCCGCGCGCAATATTAGTCAGCTACGCTCAATCGCAATAACGCCTCTCGCCCCCCCCCCCCGCCCTCCGCCCCCCTCGTTCACCCTCTCTATCGCGTCGTGCAGGTCGGTTCCTTTCTATCGAGATCTACATCGATGAATGCCGAATGGACGGCCGAATGACCGTAAACGCGGATACACGGCGATAACGGATTGCGCGGCGGGCCCGGTCGTTCATCCGGCAGCCCGGCGCGGCCATCGAAGAAGCTCGTGAATTACGCGGAAAGCACGGTAAACGTCCGGCGCATACCGAATGTGCCTTCTAAGCCGCGCGCGCGCGCGCGCGCGGATGTATTACGGATGCACGCGCACGCGGCCGCACTCGCGCGAGCACCCCGCCCCCGTGGAGATCAAAGGGTGAAATATCGAAAGCCGACTGCGAGCGGCTAATGCACTCCTGCGCGAAAAACCGGCGCGAGAAAAGGAAGGAGGGCGGGCGGGCGGGGCGGGCAGGCAGGAAATAATGCGGACGTGCGGGAGAGTGAAACAGAGGGAAAAAGTAGCGGTTGCCCTCCTGCCCTCTTGCGGAAATGCAGTTGTCGCGAGCGCGCATTCGGCCGCGCATTTGGCTTCGCTCCGCGGCGGAAAACGCCGGGAAAACGCGTGCCGCAATAGCGAGGACAAACGAAGTCTTGCCGTCGATTGTGAGGCGATTTCACGCTCGTCGGCGTCCGAATTTAAATGTCACGTGCGTCGCTGGAGATTTGTTTCCCTCGCGCATTATGCGAGGGGCGATTCTCCTTTTGAAGTTCGCTCTCACGTATCATCGCTTCACCGTTCGATCGCGAGGTTTGGCGACGCGCCGATTGTCGAGGTGCACTTGGCGCACTTTTGTATTTTCGCGACGTGTCCTTGGGCTTTTTGGAATAATCGGCGCAACAAAGTCTATATCGAGGAGGTTTATTCGGGGATCTATGTAAAACTGTTTTACAAGAGTGTAAAACTATACATTTCTTTTAATTCTGGGAATTGCATGAAGAAATTGATGGCGCCGCTACCACCCCCCACACAACAGCACGCAATAACAAAATGTTAACCACATGGAAAGGGATTTCCTTTGTGAGTAATATAATAGATCGCGAATATAGAGATAATATATCACAGATGTGTTTGAAGGCAGAATTTGTATGTTACAGTAATTAATTAACAGCTTACTCGCGAATACGTTTTCAATTCGACTGCGTAAAATGTTCAATGTTCAAATGTTCAACACGTACAGGAATAATTGAATGTATCTTAGCCGAGCTAATATATTACTTTTTTAGCCGAGAAAATATATTACTTTTTAACAATGGGTTGTATATATATATTTTTAATAAGAGAGTATTTTTTTAAGCTCTTTTACGAATGTAATATTTTTCTGAAAAATTCTCTGTCCGCGCATGCGGGCTTCTAAAACCGATGCTTTTTCCCTTCTTTCTTGCTCCAACTCTCCTTCTATCCCTTTCACTTTGGAGATCAAAGAAATTCAATCGTACTCACATATATGGTAGAGAACCAAATTCTTCGTGCTCCCATTGTACTTCTGGAACGCTCGATTAGTGGGCGCAAATACGGTCACGTGGCGGTACATGAGCGTAGTGTTGGCCACCTGACTGGCTTCCAGGAGCTGGTAAAACTGCAACAGAAGATGGAACACGTTGTGTTAGAGCGTATTCTCGAGCCCGACTTTTTTGCCGGTGGCGTACCACCAATTAACGTACGCGCGTTGTACGCAAAAGACAAAAAAAAGGGGAGACAGAGGATGGAAAAGAGAAAGAGAAAAGGGAAAAACCGAAAAACGCTTACGGCATTATGTCCTGTGTGTATGCGCGCGCCAGCCATCCCAATCGTCCCCTCTTCTTCCTACCCCCGCGGAACAAAATCAAACAATCGCTGAGCCGCGTTCAAAGGCAGACCGGAGCTCATAGCCGGGTCGTTAAATTAATCATCGTTCCCGCATGGTAAAGCAGGAAACGAGCTCGGAACAACGGAGCAATCGATTCACCGCCTCTTCTGATGTCGCGAGCGACGTATAAGCGTGCAAACTCCTCTTCTTCTCGGAGAGGAAACGACCGAGAATAATGAAAAAAGGAAAAGAAAAACGGGGGCGCGCGCGCGCGCGCGAGAGAGAGAGAGAGAGAGAGAGAGAGAGAGAGAGAGAGATAAAAATGCAGCCGCCAGCGCGGATACCACGTCGCGAGCAATTGACGTCAGCGAGGATTAAACTCGCAGCGCGCGTTCGAGCCGGCGAACTCCCGAGTCCGTTTCGACGGAGGGGTCGTGCACCCCGAACTCGCCAACACGCACCCCCGCGCTAAAGCATTTAATCCTGACGTGTCGGCTGACATTTTCCGGTGACTTTCATCCGAGCCGTGGCGCGCCACAAAGGAACCTCGTTAGTTATCAATGCTTAATTAGCCGGATGCAAAGTCCGATCTGCCGGAGGGGGGGGGTGTTACGGCTCGATGGCCACTGCGGAGTCGGTCTCTTTCCCCCGCGTGGGCCGTCCGTGTCGCTCGCGCCACGGGGAGACGGCAAATAACGTGGTCGCGGAAACCGAAAGTTGTCGGAACGGCGAAAGAGATATCGACGTGCGCGAGCGAGGGAGATCACATTTTTATAATTTTGCAGCATTATACCACCAGGTGCATTCAGATATCCGAGACTTCAATCGAGGGTATCGACAGATGCACGGAGTCGCGTGTAGATCGAATTAAATATGTCAGGTCCATTTTCGGCAGTCTCGTATATTAAAACACGTGGATCGATCGCTTATACTCTGAATATATATACTCTGAATCTATCTAGAATATTATATTTTTAACTTTTGGTGGGGGGAGGGGGGGAATGAGTTGGACGTAAAATGTTCACAGACTTTGGTGCGTCTTAAGATCGAAAGGCGTTCTTTGCGCCTTTAAAACGTACGATGCGTTGAAGACAATTCGTCTTTCACACACTGTATATCACTAACTGTATTTGTAATTCTGACTATAAAAATTATCAACTTTGGCTAACCATATTTCGTTTATTGTTAATTGTTACAGACGTCGAACATTTCGACATGAGCTAGAAAAAAAGCGGCTAGAAAAAAAGGAAAAGCTGCATGAACAAAAATAGCAGTTTCATGTGTGGAAACGCTGCGCGCCAACAATGCAGCATTCGGATTCGGATGTGGAGCAATAATTACTCTTTAAACACCAGCGAGTGGACGGCGTATTGATAAATTCAGAGTGGAATTCGCGGAATGCTTTTTAGAGTGTTGATTGTTGTGATTCTCTCGGCTACCTGCGAGAGCGGAGGGGCGTGGCTTTGCCTTTCTTGCCGATTGTTTTGATTATTCTCGCGCATCGTGTCATAATGTCCCGAGCCGGCGAGCGACAACGTACACATAATACTGCGACGCGAGCCGCGTGTATCGGCACGATGTTGACGATTCCTCCGTCGCGTGATCGAGCCGTTTTATTCGTTATTGAAATATAATTGACGCGCGGACTCGGAGTCAGACGGAGTCAGACGGAGTATCTACGCGAGTGTCAGTGCCAGTGTCGGTGTCAGTGCTCCAGGTCAGTTATTCAGAATATCACGATGGAGCAGTCGGGAGCAGGATGCTGGGTCGGGATACCAAGACGAAGGATGCAGGATGCCAGGAAGCCAGTAGCAACGCTTCGTATATCTCTAGGTGTGTCGAGTCATTTATTACGCGAGATGTTTCCAATTCGAGCGAGCGTTTAATGAATCTCTGGGAACAAGGAGATACCCGAGTCGAAATATACGCTGTTATTCATAATCTACTAATTTATTTGATAAATGATAAGAACCTTGTACGACTTTCTCATTATTCATCAATCTATATGAATTTCATGCTACAAATATTAATCGGCTGATTAACGATCCGTGTGCAAGAATTTATAATTGATTGTGCCCTTCAACCAAAGATACACGTAACTTACGATTATGAATATCGACCTTAAAGTCTAGGATAAATATTGCAAGTGTTGATTTTCGCGTCTAATAATGCTGCTTGAGCCGCACATTCCATCTTGTTTATGTCGACGACTTTTTGTCGCTTCTTCTGTTTATTCTTCGTAGTTAATATACCGAATTCAAATTTAAATCTTTTTCAGTGCGCAGCATTATTGGACAAATAATTGTTATTTTTGTTATTTTTAAATAATTGTTATTTTTTACTGCATTTTTTTAAACCAGCCCTAAAAAAGCAAAAAAGAGAAAAAAATTGAAAGAGACTGAGAAAGTAAAATGTGCTGTGTTTTATTCACCCATGTATTTACTCACTCATATTAATAATTTTATATTCGCTCATCTCACATATTTTGTTTACAACTGAGTAAGTTGCATAATTAGCACATTGCTTATTGAAAAGGAAAATATGAATTAATTGCAGATGAAATGATGAGATGATGGAATATTAAATTATTCATGATTCAGAATTAGTAGAGAATTAAAATTTCGACTCGGGACTTGTCGCGATCTCTCTCAATCGAATAAGGAGAGCAATCGTTATTTTTACAACAGCACGCAATTTAGCACGCTGCCGTGCCGATTATTTCCAAACTCGGATAAAGTTCAAAATAACAAGAACACAATAAGCAAATACAATTTATCATACATAAATGTCAACGTTTTCATTGGTTTATACTATTGCTCGTACACATAACTTGCTACGTATGCAACTGATTGTCTTATAAATTAATAAAATGTGCATATACATTGTATATAAATTAATGACATATGGTAACGTGTCGGAAGATAACCTTCACGGCAGTCTACGCGTTAACTTTGAAATGCTTTGTGACCTCCACAATGCGACTGAAGGAAAGGTCACAAAGAGTATCCGTTTTAATGAAAGAAATGTCCAGGTAAGAGACAGATAAATTCGAATTACTATTTTTCTATGAAGATGTACATATACATATATATATATATATTGATATAAGATATGTCGAAATATTTCCACGTTACACTCTTTATCCGTCGCGCCGAACGTTGCTCGATATCGGAGGATCTTTCGGAAAGTCCCAAGTGAATCTTCAGGTTGTTATCCCGCTGATTAAGTCGCGACGTATAAAAGCATCAGGAAAGCTGCGGTTCTCGTTCTCTCGCGAACCCTTTTCATTCTCGCCTATATCCAAGCGATCAATTTGCATCCCCGGCGGATTTTGATTCAGCGCTCGCGCATTTACGCGCGACATTTATGCATCCGAGCGCGTCCGCATGCGAGACCGGCTAAGCTGGCGTGTGCCCTGCTCTGGAACGTGCAAACGAACTTACTCGGTGCACCGGATAGGCGCGGAAAGTATGTCGGAACCCGCTGGCGGGAGGGAAAAAGGGGAGGAGGGGCAGGGAAGGAGGGTATGATAAAACTCCGCGCGAGAACGTTGGCTCTCGCTTTGTCGATTTTATGACGCGTGTGGCATTCGAACAAGTTTTACCGCACAAAAGCGTCGCCGAGGCTTCCGATTCTCGTAAAACTCGGCACGGAGTATCGTAAAAACGCGATTATTTCGTCCCATTGCTTGAAACTCCCGTTCCGCCCGGCGGCGGCGGCGGGGCAGGAGAGAGAACTATGTCGGCGCGCACGGATATAATAAACTGCTAAAGTTCCGTACGCAGGAGGCGTACCTTGTCAACGATTTTTCTGCCGCGATAGTCCGGCACGTCCTCCTCCCTTCCGCCCGTTGGCCGTAACGTACAGACGATTTCCCGGGCCCTTGGACCCTCCGCGGGAGTTAATAAGGGTATTCTCGCTTTTTATACTCTCCTTTTCTCCTACCTGTTCACATTCATGCTCCGCACAGCCGGCGTTGAGCGCGCACTTTCCGTTCGATTTGAAACTTGGCCGCGATAGCTTTTCACGATTTTCGACTATCGGGAATATCGGCGAGATCGCGCGCGGCTTCGAGTTTTTATTCAATAATTAAACGTCGCCTACGGGGGCGACTTGTATTATCGGCGACTGAGGGTGGCGGGGCGGATCGGCGGATTTAACGCAAAGCGTTATAGAATACAAACGACGGACTATAATTTTCCCGTGCTCGCGTGCTCCTCTTTCTCTTCGCCGCTCGGCGAAGTTAACGGGACGGTATTAACGCGGAAGTAGGTACTTGGACGCGATCGAGTTACTCTCGGCGAAATTTCCAGGCGCCAAATTGCGTCTGGTTTGCGAGTCGCTCGGCATCGGGATCTACGAATCGTTAAGGTCGTAAGTTCCCGTCGCGGACGGCTTTGTCGGAGGCGGGAAACTTTGTTACCACGGTCATATATGCTAATTAGTACATGGCGGGGTAATTGGCGGGGCGAATTCGCGGAGCGCGAAGTCTATTAGCTGCATCGGTCGCTGCCGGTCGACATCGTCGGTACCGGTAGGAAATTTCTCATTAATTAGCGGAGCGATGGCATCAGGATGTGGTCTAACATGTCTATATTCCGCAATGATCGACGTCGTCCGGCCTGTCGTGTCTCGGAAATATTGATGGATCTTCAAATCGGGAGTCGCGTTTTAGCTTGCAAACTAAATTTCGGGAGAAGACGGTAAATATCGGACGGTAGGAGAGAGACCTCTCATCTCTTCGTACGCAGGCCAAACTGCATTCGATTTTCTCGTTAGGAGCAACGCTC